CTGCGCATCGCCTCTGCCGCGTGTAGCTTTTTAACCGGGATGGTGAAGCCCCCAGTTACAGCGATCGCACGGGGGAACGGGGGCCTTGGGCTCAGAGGGTCGCGCTTTGGTTTGTTAAAACCAGAGAGCCCAGAAGGGAGCTGTACGGCCAGAAGCCGTAGCGCTGCCGCGCGCGCGACGTTAAAGCGTCGGTGGAGGGCTCGGGTGTCTGGGTTTTGTCCCGCAAGCACGCGCCGCGGCGCTGCGTTGCTCCTGCGACGGGGCCTGGTGTGTGTCACCAGCAAAGCCCGTACGGTTTCTTTTCTCTCATTCGATGTCTGTACATTTGCTGGGTGCCCTTGTTCTCCGCTGCCCTGACGCAGTAGCAGCGGCATCCTCGCCTTCACGAGGGCTAAAGGGCGAAACTGCTGCTGGTGATAGTGTGTGCCTCTATTGCAGCCCGTTTATTTTACCTTCCAGAACTGGTTCGGTGCTATTGATACTCCCAAGTTTTCTTCATACTAGCTACCTTTCAGATAACTTGCTGGAAAAAAAGCAAATGTCTTCATAAGGTCTTATCCCAAGAAGGAGAGGGTATTTTGACCTCGACTTTACCAAATAACATGCTTTCTTTTGTTTTCTGCATATGCCATATTGACATTTATTTGAAACCTTCACTTTTTAAAACTTTTTTAGAGCTAATAGTTTACGATCTAGTTCGTTCGGTGGTTGTTAAATGTAGTAGCGATCAACCTCTTGGCTTGAAATGTCCTTAAACTATGTAATTTCAATACATCAGGTCAACTGCTCCAGTGGTTGTCCCTGAATCTTTTGATTTTGAAAAGGGAAATTCAAATCCAGCAAATCGTACCAACAAGGCGTTCAGGAATTGCACCAGAGAGCAAACCAGGATGATCCAGAATGAATTTGCAAACTGTTCGCTGTGAGTCTTGAACGTAAAACTTCCCTCTTTGAAATTGGCAATTTTCTCCGAAAGGTGGTGGATCTTCACTTCTGAAGAGAAGAGAATCATGGTGAGGCAACCGCAGCAACCTGAAACGGAGGGGGAGATGCTTTTTAGAATCCAAGTCAGCAGCTACTGAAATTGGTAGGCTTTTTTAATTGAATTTGGCTTAGGACCCACGATATTTAGCACAGCCGCCGTAGCGCCCTGACCCAGCAAAGTATCTGTGCCCTTTTTCAGCTTGAAGCTGCTCGTTGTCCCACTGAACGTGACTGAGCTGTCTGCACGTTTAAAGGTACGTACGTACCCAAGTCCTTCACTAAATTATGATAGTAATACATAATATGTAGATCTTCTTGTCAGCCAAGGCAGCGACACAGAGAACGGGCTTTCCCTGGCCTGTAAGTGGCAGGGGCAGAGGGGCGGCCCCTCAGCCCTGTTGGCAGGGCTTCTTCAGAGACCCCCTTCCCCGCGCGCGGCTGCCCGTCTCGGCCTCCTCGGGGAGGTCCTGCTGGTGGCGGCGGGCTGGCTGACACAGCTGGGGACCTCCCACCTTGGTGAAGGCGAGCAGTTGCAGCACTGGCTTTTTTGGGGGTTTTTCCTCCCCTTTCCCCCGTCTGTGTGATTCCCAGTTCCAACGGCCTGCTGTGCATCCGTGATGCGGCCCCAGCTGTGTGTCCCTGCGGCTCGTGGGCACCGTCCCCTTTTTTCTGCCAGCTTACGCAGCAGGGCTGGGGGTGCCGGGGCTGCCCGCACCCGCACCCACCCCACCGCCCGCCCTCATGGAGGATTTTGGCATTTTATCTCTTAACTCCCGTTTGGAAACAACACGCTTTGATACAGCAAAATCATCCGCCTTTCCGCCGAGCTTTATCTCGCCAGTTTAGAGATAGCTCCTTGGTACGGTCTCCTACGCCGACAAACCGGTCATCGCCAGAAGCAAACACGGGCAGGCGTTAGCCTTGGTGGTACTTACACGCGACGAAGCTCCAGAGGTACAACCCGACGGGGCCGTGCAGAGTTTCGTAAGGGCTGCCAAAAGCATTGAACATGAAGAAACCCGCTCCCAGCAGAGCAAAGACGATCAGTACTGTACAGAAGAGAATGACACTAACATGGATACTTGCAGGGATAATTTTGAGCAAATCTGGAAAAACTAAAAACAAAACAAACAAAACATTATTATTCACATTAGGCAGAGTTGTTTCAGAAGTCAGGCCAGGGGTTTCTTGCTGGTTTGCGATAATTGTTTTAAATTGTGCTCTTCCAAATGCAAAGGAAGATGAAAATTAAGTTATTAACTAGAAACAGGTTTTCACGGATGTTTGGAGGCAAAAGCGTTTCGTGACACTCGGAAGTGTAGACTGGCCAGGAGAGAAATACCAGCTCCAGGCTAAGCCTCTCCTCCCCTTCCCGAGCGCGCGTCCCTGTGCGTTATTCCCCCGGCCCGGCCGCT